TTGACCTGAAAATTTGTCTACCTGACCTGGATTTTTCAGGTCGGGTCAGATCGGGTCACAGGTTGACCTGACCTGATTTGGAGCTCTAACAAACCCGTATCAATTCCTGATCATAATTTTCCAGTAGGCTCTAAAACATAAGCTGATTCCATCTGTCTACTTATTGATTGATCCTAATAATACTAACGAATCTTTACATGCTGGCAAAATACGAATTTTTATTCGCCCTGAATATTTTTTGAGTATATCATGTGAAATACACATGATTGACCCTATAACTATTACAGAGGAGAAGGCTTTTCGTAGTTTTACTCATTATCAAAATTTGGTGAAACCTATTTGGTGCTTATTAACGGATGGTGGTCCTGATAAAAACCCCTGGTTTCTTGCTAATATTCTCAAATACTCATTCATTTTTAAGAAGCTTGATTTAGACTATCTAACAGTACGAACATATGTATCAGGATAATCAGCATATAACCCGGTAGAACAAAGTATGTCATTATTATCTGGCAAACTAGCGGGTATTGTGTTGAATGCTTTTAATTATGGAAAACATCTTGAGAGTGTAAATGGATAAGTTTCTATAGTTAATGAAGAACTTGGATATAGAAACTTTAAACATGCCAGTGAATGTCTTTGTGAATTATGGAACTGTGATCATATCAATAGATATCCAGTTAATGCTACATATGTTGAAAGACATGACCATACTATATTTTCAGATATTGACGAAGGGAATTGGGATTGGATTGATCGTTATTTGCAAATTTGTAAATATTCTCTTGATTTATAAAAATGCGAGGACCAGAATTGTTGTGGTCCACCACAAGCTCCTGATACTTTTAAACTCTTATCACTAAATAATAGTTTTCTTTTTCCTATTATACAAGGTCAGGATAAGCATTTTCTTAATCCATTGCATATATTGGAATTTTTTAAAGATCAGCTTCCTGGCTATGATGAATATTATCTGAGTATTTTACCCGAAATGTATCGCAAACTTTTATGTAAAAAGTGTAAAAAATATTTTCTAACAAAGATATTTATAAAGATGCATGTTAAGAACATGCATTCAAATAAAAGGGAAATAATACAAAAAATCAATAATGATGAACAATCTACAATCTCAATAGGCACAAGAAAAGAATCGGTGGTTTATACAGAAAAATATAAACAGGTGGATCAATCTTTTAATCATACAGATAATAAAATTGCAACTAGACAAGTATATAAACAACAAATGAAAGATAGTAAACATAAAAAAGATGGAGTAAAAATTTCTTAGGATCAGGATCATCTTATATTTCAAATTTGATAAAATTATGTAAAGCGAATATTATTACAATAAATAAATTTAATAATTGTATATAATTTTTGATTATTATTTGTGAGACTAAAATTTATAATTTAATTAATCATTCTATTCTATTTTTTTTTTCTCATCAAGTTTAAAGTTTATTTTTGTATGAATAAATTTTAAACTAAGATTTATTTTTTTACTGAATTTAAAGACTATTACGTGATTTTTAATTTTCCTTAAATGGAAATGATGATAGAAGGGGAAAAGGGGGTTAAAATCTTTAAAATTAAATTACGTAATTTCTGGCCCTCCTCTAAAAAGGAAGACTGTTTGGCCTAAGCCCAGAGTTTGACTAATATAGATTTTTTATTAGGAGCTAAGCAGAATGTTTTACCTTTCTGAGGCTGGTAAGTATTGTGGATAATAGAGAATGGTTTATCTTTACGAAGGGCCTTAATCCATTTGATATTAAGATCAGTAAGATCATTATCTATAACGATAATGCGTCTTGCTTTTTGAATTAGTATATATAGTTTCTCTATTGATTGTCCCGCTAAACGACTTTATGCCTGAGCAATTATCAATACTATTTCATCAAGGCATAAATCATATTGGCTTGGAGAACATTTACACTTTTTATCACATTTGCAATTATTGATAATGCGATGTAGACTCTCTATCTGACACACTACCCTCTTATGATCAGGTAGATTTATATTATCATCAATATCGCAATATGATTTAAGATTAAGTCGTATAGTAATAGTATTCGAGTAAGAGTGACGCGTAGATAATACATGCAAATTTACATCATCAGGAATAGCCAGATTTTCAAGAACATATGTTTTTCCTGTTTTCCAAGGTGATCTAACATAGATATCACATTCATTGGATAATGGTTTTATATATCTCTTCTCATATGTTTCTGTCGCTATAAAGGGTTCATTATACTTGACCCAAGATGGGAATTTTACAAAGGCTTTAGGAAAATTGGGGCTTTTACCTTGTGAGATGATTGTGAAGAATTTTTATTTTCTTGTCTAATTTTTTCTGCGATAGATGAGTCGCATTCAAAAACTTCTCCAGGTTTATCACTATCTTGCCAAAAGCATTTTATAATGAATATTCCACTGTTAGCATATACACGACCGAACTACCGCTGATTCTTGTCATATATACGTTTACACAGTAGGCATTCTAGTGAACCTTTTTGGTTAAAATATACAAAGCTTTCTTCATCCTTTTCTTTAATAATCCAATCCCTAAAATAGTTGGAATACTTTTGCAAAACAAGGTTTACATATTTTTGTAATACATCCTGATCACGATTATTCTTAGTGGATTATTATTTTTTCTTCACTAAGCATCCAAGGCTTTACTTTAAGTCTTAAACTAAAAGGCGGTTGAACTCTAACGTGATCAAGTTCATTCCAGTTATTATCTAGAGAGAATTGAAGAATACGCTTTACACAACCTTTTTTGCTAAACTAATAAGGCGAAGGTTAAAATTTTTACCAGGTAATTTACAATTGATAAACCTGCTGAATTTTTCACCAGTTATAGTATATACTAATTCAGTGAATGCTTTGAGCTCATGATGATCAATAAGAAGAGCTGAAGTATATAAAATATGATAGCTACACTTGCTAAAGTCTGATGATGTAGCGATTATTAATCCATTAAAAATGTCCTTCCAGCTACAATCAAGAATTCAATATAAGGCTCTTATAAAAGATAGGCAGATTCAAAAGAATACTTCTTGTATCTTAACATCAGTTGTTTTCATATCTTCTTGCGAAGCATTTATGTCAATAACGGCTCTTAAAGGTTTTTAACTATTAATACATTCATGAATTCCAGGTAAGCTATATATTTCAGAAATGCCATCGGCAACAGAAAATTTGGGGGCATAATCACAATTTTGGTCGATTTTGATAACTAATTTATCTTCTACCACACTTCAGTCATAAGCGTTATATAAGCTAGAGCCTTTTTAATTTGGAAAGAGGAATGAATAGATTGGGAGGTAATCTAATAATCCTTTATCATCTGACATATCTCTAGGTAATGATGATAGGATTCCCTGAATGGCATTTAGCAAATCCTTAGAGGAAAATTTATCATTGAAGTTTTCTTGCCTCAAAGTATATGTCATGTTAACCTTTCGTTTTTTTACAGCTTCGGTAGTGTTGGTTGAAACGCAGGAAGCTTCTTCATTATCAGACTCATAATTAGACTTGTAGTTATTAATATCATCTGATCCCAAATCAGATTCATTATCATTATAATCATCTGAGTCACTTAAGTATTTATTAGACTCAGCGCTGTCATAGTGGGCGAGCGTTAAGCCAGATCCAGTATGATAAGTTTGGTCAGAAATAATTGGGATATACATGTTGTCAGTTCAAAAGGAATTATATAACTTTATATAAATCAGAAATGTTTAATTATTTTTTTTTATTCATCGAAAAAAGAAGCAATAGCAAACTTAGATAGCAAAATACGAAAGAAAACCAGATGAATTATTGCATCAAAGTGAAGTCTTCTTCAGTAATATTATATATAAAATTGGAAAAAGACTTCACCTTTCTAGATATGTACTTAGTATATGTATTTTGTGAAGTCTTCTTCAGTAATTTTATATATAAAATTAGAAGAAGACTTCACCTTTCTAGGTATGTACTCACCCAATGAGGGCTGAATTTATCTGCTAATATTTCTCTAATGAAGAGAATGTATGCAGACGAGCTTGTAACTGACAAGAAGGATGCAAAATTCATTGAAAAAGACGTCAGCGAAACTCTTATAAATAATGTAGGAAACCAACTACTTCAATCCATAATATGTGTAATTTACATGTAAATAAGTATTATTCGAAAACATATTATCATAGAAAGAAGCTAAATGCCTTGCATCCAAGCTAGCATAAAACTAGCGAATTAATAGAACCACTCTAGCTTACCTCCAGTTCTATGACAGTTCCATAACAGTTTCAGAATACTATTAAGTCACCATTATGACGCCATCGTATTGCCAAGCTGAAACCTAAAATCACATATGTAAAAGATCGACCAGAGTTATACCATAGAGCCAGTCAAAATTAATTGCAAATAATCTGCAACACCTATCGCCTCTTTATTATACCATTTCAGTATTATAAAAGGTAACAAAATAAGCACAAAGGGTAAGTACCTCAATATAAAATTTAGCATCCATTCAGACACAGGAGACCAGTATCCTCAATAAAGAACTAGGCATCCAAACAAACATGAAAAGCCAATACAGTCATACCTCTCTATAGCGAATTTTTATATAACGAATTTTTTGGGCAACTATATTAAATTTACCCTCGTTATAACGAACTAGCCAATCAAATTCTTTAAAAAATTCACTATAGCTCTATAGCGAAGTTGAAGTTCAGGACATAAAATTCGTTATATCAAGGGTTGACTGTACTAACAATGTAGAATTTAACACGTAGACGAAATAGAAACTAGAAGAAAATAGCGATACTAAGATTATATGGTGGTAGTTAGATTAAATAGTGGGTGGTAGTTAAATTATATGATGGTAAATGATATGAATATCAGGAAGGGTTTAAAAGAATAGCTAGAATATAAAATAGATACCCAACATAAGAAAACAAATAGATTATATAGCGATATTTAGATTATATTATTCAGATTATATGATGGTAATTAGATTATATCTTTTAGATTATATGGTGATATTCAGATTGTATGATGATATTCAGATTATATAATGGTATTTAGATTATATAGTGGTACTATAATCTAGGGTAAGTGGAATACCACTATGTGATATAATTATATTACATGGTGGTATTTCACTAAATATATTAGATTGATCCTTTTGATTCAATCTATAATACATCTATTTTACCTTATATCTTCTGTTTATTTTATCATATTTTTAACATTTAAGTGATTCTAAAAACTGATTATAATAATAGTTTATTCAAATATAAATAACACTTATTCATCTAGTTTTTGTAAATTTATATAATTCATAAAAAATTAAAGTAAATATACTGATATGATAATATAAATCATATTATTTGATAAGATAATATACAGAAAATTAAATAAAATTATAAATGTAAAATTAGTAAAAACAAAAAAATATATTTTGATTATTTTAAATGTTAGGCTAATTATTTTATATAAACTAGGGAACGGGATCTGTTCAAAGTCTGAATATATAAATTATAATATTATATTTCACATGATTAATTATTTTGTAATACAAAAGACATAACATGTGATAACGTAAACAAAATGTCATTAGTTATCAGGCTTGTTAAATTTGGATGGACAGAATGAACTTGCATTTGAATGTCATAGTAGTAAAGTACCCTCCACTATACTTCGAACAATAAAATTTTTTTAAATTATAAAACAAAGAAATTAGATTTTTTATTTTATAATTAAAATTAAAATTTTTTAAATATAATTATTTTATTTAAAATATAATTTATAAAGTATAATATATATTATTTTTATAATTATTTTAATTATTTTAATAAATCCAATAAGCTATTAATAAAAAAACTAATATTTTATTTATAATTCTAGTTTGTAAAAAAATTCTAGTTTATAAAAGATTTTAATTTATTAATAATATTTTTTTAGAAAATATAGGAACTTTTTCAGAAAAATCAAATCATAAAACATAGTAAATCATATAATCTGTAATGTGATTTTACTGGAAATACTCTTATATGACTTTTTAAAAGATTTATTCAAAAAATATAAGTAAAATAATATATAAAAATTGAGTCTAATTATTCAAAAATAATATAATATATTATCAAATAAATTGATATTAATAATTTACTTATAAATATATAGAAATGTTATCAATAAAATCAAGTTATCAGATATAATAAATCCTATAATTTGTAAATTAAAATAATATAATATAAATAATTTTTAATATATGTAAATTTTAATAAAATTTTACTTTTTTATTAGATATTAAATTTAAGTTTTATAATATTATTAATTTTTATAAATAAAATAAAAGAATTTTTAACTTAAAATTATAAATTAATAGTATGATAAATATATATATATATTTAAATATTTATTGATTAATTATTTGGGATTAATATTGCTATTTAAAACTAAAATTCTGAGTTTAGATCTTTTAAAAATATTTTAGTTAAGTGTCAAAACTAGTTTAATTAATAATTGAAACTACTAAAATTAATTTTTAGTAATTTAGAATAGCATTCTTATTTAAGATCTTTATAATAAAGAGTGAAAAAATAAAAAAATAAATAAAAATTTATATATGATATATAAACATGATTTTATTATTTGATTTTTATAAATTTTTTTCTTTCTATTACAAAGAAATGTTTATTTTATATAATATAAATAAGGTTACTTACCTAAATTTTACAATTAGTTTCAGCAAAATGTTAAATATAGTTTTATTATAATTTCTCCAGTTTCACTATTTATTATGATAGTTTTGCCATTTTAGCATTTTACCATAATTTCACATAAATTTTTATAAGATTTTAATATAGTTTTGGCAAAGTTTTAGCATTTAACAGTTTTAGCAAATGAAAAAACCCTTTAGTTTCTCCAACAATCTTAAATATAAATATTATAAATTCTTAATATTTTAAATTGATTTAATATGATTTAAATTATTAAACTAATATAAATATTTTTTATATAAATTAAATTAAATTAAAAAAAAATAAAAATAAAATATTATAGCTAATTTTATAATTTATGGATCATTACAGCTAATTTCATAATTCATAAACCATTAATAATTTTTCAATCACATTCAGTCGCAATATTTTATAGTAATTTTATTATAAAATATTTTCAGTTGCATTCAGTTGCAATTTATTAGTAAAAAAAGTAAAAAATCTGTTATTATATATTAGATAGATTTTCTTAAATATTAAAGATAAAAATAAAAATAAATACAAATATTAAATAATAAATATAAAGAAAAGCTATTAAGAGTTTTAAAGTTCATATTAATAAATGTATATTCTAATTTTTTTACAATTTCTTTACTTTTACTTGATAATTTTTACATTATAGTTCTCATTTTGGCCTTCTTATACATAATAAATAATCTCACCTATAGTGGTTAAAAAGATTTTGAAAAGTAAAATATTCAATAATTCTATTTTAAATGAATTTTACATTCTATGTGATTTTGAGAGGATTCGGATCCTTAAGATAACAAATCAGATCATGTGTTACCAAAACCTTATACTGTATGTTAATGCAAATAGTATGATTTATGAATGCTCATAATATTTTTTATGTAGGAAATAAATATATATTCCTGAAATCAATTTTGCGTTTACGGAGAAAAATTAAACTGACACTTTTCGGAAACAAATTGTAGGTTGACTTATTTTTGTGAATAATTCGTTTATGATTTTATTAGCACGTCACTTCTAATAAGTAAAAGAGGACAAAGTTGTGGATGATAAGTCCGTAAATTAATGAGCAACGAAAAATAGGACCAGAAGTAACCTGAAAGAACACATAAAATGTTGTTGATAAGTAGAGCTTCCATGGTTGATTAAAATCCTTTTCATCATGATTCTAAACCTTGAGAAACTTGGATATAGACCAGGAATCACGTTAAAAATTTGGTCTCGTATTAGCCATCAGAGAGCAAATCTTTTTGGATAATTGAATTAAAATAAATAAATATTAGATACGGAAAACTGTTAAAAATTCGTAGATTAATCATGAAAATTCTTAATGATGACGATTCCCT